GCATTGCTCCGGGCTCCTAGCCCGCAGCCAGGCTCTGGCCTCCATCCGGCCCCGGGCTCTTGCACCCGCAGGCCATCCTGTCGCCTGGGAAGGGCCTCTGGCCCCGTTGCCTGAGTAGCACCAAGTGCCGGCAGCAGGGAAGAACAGCCAGGCGCCCGCAGGAGCAGCCCGGGGCTGGGACGCTCGGGGGCAGGCGTCTCGTCTCCTTCATTAGCGCTGCCGCACGGCAGGGACACCGTGCCACGTACTCTGGGAAGCTCTGAAACGCTGCCTCCCTCGCGGCGGTGAGTTTGGCTGGGGGGTCCCGCTGGCCCTGGGGCTGTGGGGTGCAGCGGACAAGGCGTGTGCTGCGGGGACGGGGCTCTGCTTTCCGCCCCCTCGGCCAGCGCCCTTGCGTGCTGAAGAGGCTGCGTGTTTGGGGCAGGGCCCAGCATCTCTGCAGGAGACCCGGGGGCCGGGCTGGAGCAGTAGGTTGCTGATAGGAGCAGGTTTGGCTGGGGGGTCCCGCTGGCCCTGGGGCTGTGGGGTGCAGCGGACAAGGCGTGTGCTGCGGGGACGGGGCTCTGCTTTCCGCCCCCTCGGCCAGCGCCCTTGCGTGCTGAAGAGGCTGCGTGTTTGGGGCAGGGCCCAGCATCTCTGCAGGAGACCCGGGGGCCGGGCTGGAGCAGTAGGTTGCTGATAGGAGCAGATGCGCCCAGCCCAGTCCCACCTCTCCACAGCTGCTTTTGTGCCCGTCTGTCACCTCGGTGCCTCCGTGGAGCCCCAGGCCTAGGCGCGAGTTTTCCCCTGGGCTTCAAGACAAAGCTGAGCCCAGTCGCCCACCCGGGAGCTGAGCTCTGCCTGCCTGTGTGGGGCAGGGGCTGCTCGGTGTGTCTGGGCATCTGTAGAGTGCGTCGCACACACACTGGGGAGGCAGGGACATACCCCCCTTAACAGATGGGAAACTGAGGCACGGGTTATGTGACTCGTCCAAGGGGTTTCAGGAGTCTGGCAAAGCCGGGACCGGTGCCCAGATCTCCCCGGAGTGCCTGAAGGAGAAGGCCAAGCGAGCCCTGCGAGCCCTCACGTGGCGGTCTGAGGGTGTGCGGGCTGCCAGTGCTGTGGCCGGGGGCCGGCTGGACACGCTGCCTTAACAGATGGGAAACTGAGGCACGGGTTATGTGACTCGTCCAAGGGGTTTCAGGAGTCTGGCAAAGCCGGGACCGGTGCCCAGATCTCCCCGGAGTGCCTGAAGGAGAAGGCCAAGCGAGCCCTGCGAGCCCTCACGTGGCGGTCTGAGGGTGTGCGGGCTGCCAGTGCTGTGGCCGGGGGCCGGCTGGACACGCTGCTGCCCCGGGGAGAGAGCAGAACGCCAAAGCTCTGTGCTGTGTCTGGCAGAGGCCACCCAGCCAGGCCAGCCCCAGCTCCTGCTCCTCCCGATCGGCAAGCGCGCCAGCCTCCCGACCTGCCACGGTGCTGGTCTGCCAGAGGGCGGCTGCAGCCCTGCTCGCAAAGGGTTAATGTCTTGCCCAGATCCCTCGCCTGGCGAAACACAAAGTCCAATAACCCGGCACCCCTGGACTCCTGGCGGGGGGGTTAATTCCTGCACTTGATGTTAAGGCTTGGCGCAGAGGTTGCATGGGGGGGCCATCGCTAGGGCTGGCTGGCCTCTCTAAATGGTTGCTAGGGGCCAGGCATCAAGGGCCAGTGTGGTTGCCCACAGTCACGGTCACGGAGGGAATTACACAGCCACAAAGAAGTGGTTCTTCTCCATAATCTGCCCTTTGCAGAGCGGCCGGGGGACGCCGGCCGGCCCCAGCGTGCAGCCAGAGCTGTGATCATAGGAGCGTCCCCCCCCCCCCCCGCCGCTAAGCTGCTTTATCAGCTGGTTCTCTGCCCTGACACAAAGGTGTTTGCTTGTTTTAACATCTCCCGGGACTCCATTGCGCCTTTGTGTGGTCCCCCTCCCCGAGCAGGCTTTAGCCCAGATTACAGACGGAATTAAGGCATTTGGCTGGGCTGCCTCAGAACTGCGTGACACTGGATCAAGGAGCCGGGCGGGGGCTGCCAGTCGCCCCGCCGACGGGCCCATTCTCTCTGCTTTCAAGGGCCCTCCATTGTCCTGCGCCTCGAGGCCGTGGCAGCCGGGCCCGAGCGGCGGGGCTTGAAAAGCAGGTGCTCCAGGGTCCATTGTGTCCACTTTTGATTAGGCCACTAGAAAGCAGACAAGGGAGGTTTGCAGCAGCTGGCCAGGGTCTCCCAGGGCTGCCGGGCTGCCCTGGTGGCTGTATCTGGCCTGTGGGGTACATGGAGGCAGACGGGAGGGTCGCGCTTGAGACGGGCTAGCCCCAGGCGGGGAAAGGATCCGGTGGCTCCCGCCTTGCTCCAGGGCAGCGGGGCAAACGGGCCCGAGGACGGGGCGCTGCGGGGTTGCCCCCCGAGGGGTATTGTGCTGGGAGATTGGAGGAGTGCAGAGAAGAGCAAGAGGGAAGTTCTGGGGCTGGTGGTGCCTGTCAAGGCTGCAGCTTGTCACGGTGCTGAGTGAGGGGGGGGCTGCAGACCTGGCTGGCCTGGTGGGAGAAGGGCGAGACCCAGGGGTATTGTGCTGGGAGATTGGAGGAGTGCAGAGAAGAGCAAGAGGGAAGTTCTGGGGCTGGTGGTGCCTGTCAAGGCTGCAGCTTGTCACGGTGCTGAGTGAGGGGGGGGCTGCAGACCTGGCTGGCCTGGTGGGAGAAGGGCGAGACCCACGCTGGCCGGCGAGAGGGGGTGGGAGGCAGAACAGTCCAGGTGTGTGTCCCTGCGTTTCCCGTCACCAAAGTAGCCGGTCCTAGAAGCCGGGCTGCACCCTCGC